GAAGACTGCTCTCATGTCTCCCCTGATTCTTCTCTTCACTAGACTAGCCAGGTCCAGTTCCTGTAACCGTTCATTTTATGTTTTTGCCTCCAGTCCCCTCATCATCCTGGTTGCTTTTCTCTGCACTTTTTCTAGAGTCTCAACATCTTTGTTATAGTGTGGTGACCAAAACTGGATGCAGTCCTCTAGGTGTGGTCCAGTGGTGGGTTACGACTGGTACTCTCCGGTACAAGCGTACCGGTGCCTGCCGGGAGCACCAGGTACCGTTCCGGTATGGTATGGTGCTCTGGAGGGCCCACCTGCCTGCCTGCCCGCCCGTGCTCCTTACTGGTATTTGAGGTTTTGGGGGCTTCCATGCAGGGAGCATATGGTGCCTGTGCAACGCTCCGCTGAGCAACTGGAGCGTCACGGAGACGTTGCGGGCAGTAAGTATGCATCCATGTGCTGCGTGTGTTCATGTGGTGGATGCCCGGCCCCGTTGCACCGTACTGGTTGCAACGGGATCCTGAACCCGCCACTGGTATAATCTTAGTAGGGCTTAATAGAGTGATATTAGTATCTCACTTGATCGTGATTATATCCCTCTGAAAATGCAACTTAGGATTGCATTGGCTTTTTTGTCTGCCGCTGCACACTGCTGGGTCATATTTAGTTGGTTGTCCACTAAGACTCCAAGATCCCTGTCACAGTTTCTGCTATTAAGCCTGGTTTCGCCCAGTCTATAGGTGTACTTTTGGTTTTTCTTGCCTAAGTTTAATGTAAAGCAATTGGTTGGTAACAAAAGGGGGGGGGAATCCACTCAATTATTTCATAGTTGTATTTATTTTATTTCAGGTCCGTAGAATCATCCGTGTATGCAAAGGAATCCTAGAATACCTCACTGTGGCTGAAGTGGTGGAGACAATGGAAGACCTGGTGACATACACGAAGAATCTGGGACCAGGTTAGAAAGCCCTTAGATGTCTCTGACTCTGCCCCTTTCTGGGGATTGGTGTGTTGTTTTCACCCAGAACCTTCTAGAAGGTGGGATCCTTGGTTTCTCCTGAGCTGTGTGTGGGGAATTCATTACCCTTAAAAAGCAATGCAGAGAAGTAGTGGCCAAATTCCTTAATGGGTCTACGTCTACATGGAAAGAAGAAAGTGGTGGGGTACCACAAGGATCTGTCTTAGGCCCAGTACTCTTTAATATCTTCATAAATGACTTAGATGAGGGAATAGCGGGGGAACTTACCAAATTTGCAGATGACACAACCAATTTCGTTATATTTATTTTGTACAGTGACAATAAATACTATACTATACTATGATACTAAGCTGGCAGGAATAGCTAACACCCTGGAAGATAGGCTCAAGATCCAGAAGGATCTTGACAGATTTGAACCCTGGGCCCTATCTAACAAAATAAAATTTTATGTAGAGAAAAGTAACGTCCTACACTTAGGTAAAAAAAAACCAAAAGGACACATACAGACTGGGTGAAACCAGGCTTAGTAGCAGTAACGCTAAGAGGGATCTTGCAGTCTTAGTGGACAACCAGCTAATTATGAGTCAGCAATTTGCAGCAGCAGCCAAAAAAGCCAATGCAATCCTAAATTGCATTAACAGAGGGATAAAGTCAAGATCAAGGGAGGTACTAATACCACTCTATAAAGCCCTAGTAAGACCACACTCAGAGTACTGCATCAGGTTTTAGTGAAGAGAAGGACCATGGGAGACATGATAGCAGCCTTCCAATATGCCATAGAGAGGAGGTGGTCAAGCTGTTTTCCAAAGCACCCAGACAAGGAATAATGGATGGAAACTTACCAAGGAGAGATTCAACCTAGAAATAAGGAAGAA